GACTGCGAAGGCATCGCTCTGCGTTTCGGGAAGTTAGCCGGTACGGAAATGCTGGCAGGGTTCGGTTTCGACAAATTCGGGCTTCTGGTACGGAAGGAACAGCAGCAAGCAGCAAACGCTCCGGAGGGTTGCGTAGACGTGGAGGTCCGCAACCGGCAGAACACGGCACATAGGGGTGACGAACAGGTCGGGGCGGACAAGAACCGCCAGCGGGTCAAAGCTGGGGGGCGGAAGAAAGATGTATCCGCAAACAAACCGGTCGCTAGGCCGGGTGATTTATTTCGGGTAATCAAGGCCGCGCCGAACGAGGCCAGAAAGGCCAAGGCGGAGATGCTCCCTGACCATGCGACCGGGGAATTTGGCGCGTGCGGGTCTCGGCGTTCAAACCCCGGCGGACCTGTTCGGGGCTGCGCAAATCGATCTTAATCGGGCCAGGCTGGAGGAGAGACGCAGTCCAGGGCACAACATTTTCGAAGAAGATAGTTTCTATAGTTCCGCTGTCGACGTCGAGCCCATTCGCACCCGAATTCATGCCTATCTGACGCGGGAAAAACGGGACCTCTACATTCCCAATGCCTTCTTCTACGCCGACGGCTGCTTCTCCGCCACTCCGTCTGCCATGCAAATTAACGTTCAGATCTTCAGTCCCTCTAACCTGTCGAGACACCCGGGCGACGTGTCCGACTTTGACGAATATTGCCGCCACTTGCCAGAACAACTCGTCCCGGGACGAGAGGCTGCTCTGGCTGCCCCCCTGCGTACCGAGCGATCGCGTCCGACTTTCGCGTGGATAGGTGTGTCCTTGGTCACAGCGACGTGACCGCCACCATCATCGAGTTTGATGGCGTCTGCGGGGGCACGAGGAAAGCATTCTGGACGGCGGGGAGGAACTGCGACAAAAGCAGATATGACCGAGGGCCGGTGGAGGGAAAAGGAGACGGGAAGACGGAGGGGGCTGTGAAGGGCTGGGACCGTGAGGCGAGCGGACATTGAGGGAGGGAGAGTAATGGAGGAGAGGGTTGAGGAATGACGGAAAGGGCAGATGAGAGGCGAATGGAAGGAAAACCATGGAAAACGGAAGGGACGGGCAGCGGAGGTTTGCACCCCACGCGCCACTGTGGCCGCCACCCCACAAAGCTCTCCGATATCCGCTTCCGCAACCTCGTTGCCTACGTCGTTGCGCATGAACTGGCCCACCAGTGGTTCGGCAACCTGGTCGCCATGGGTTGGTGGGATGAGCTTTGGCTCAACAAGGGTTTGCTACCAGGGCCGGCTGGCTGGCCACGGATTATCTGCGGCATGGCTATGGCATTCCAGCTCGATTCCATCCATGCCTCCCATCCGATCCACGTGCCTGTGCGTGACGCTCTGGGTGTCAACCAGATCTTTGACAACATTAGCTACCTCAAAGGCTGCAGCACGACCCGCATGTTGGCCAGTCACCTCGGCGTCAAAATTTTCCTTAAGGGCATTGCCATCTACCTTAAGAAGCATGCTTACCAAAACGCCAAAACGGAGGCGCTGCGGGTGGCTCTTAGCGAGGCTTCGGGTACCGACTTCCAGGCTCTCATGGCTCCATGGATCGAGAAGATCGGCTACCCCGTCCTGAAAGTCTTTGAAAAGACCCGACGGCAGTATCACAAACAGTCACGCTTCTTGTCGACCGGTGATGTCGAGTCTGAGGGCGACACGACGACCTGGTGGGTCCGTTGGCGCTGTCCGGCAAGGTGGGAATGGTGGTGGGCGAGGTGGACACGACGTCTTTGACAACCAAGGAGGATACCATCACTGGCGTCAATAGCGATTTCTACCAGCTGAACACCCATACAACGGGCTTCTACCAGGTTAATTACCCACCAGAGCGCTTCGCGCAGTTCGGTAAGCAGCTCGGCGGCGGACCTTGCCATTTTGGGCTACATAGGTACATCGGCACTCCTCTCGTTCTTCAAGGGTTCAGTGCTGAAAGCGAGTATCTGGTCCTGGCGCAGGCCCTGGATGCCGTCGGCTCGCTGAAATCCGTCTTTGGTGATGACGACATCCGCCAGGGACTTTGCGCCTTCACTCTGCGCTTGATTGAGACCCGCTGGTCAAGGTCGGCTTTGACGTACCGGCCAACGAGCGGATACGCAGCCATCGCAAGATATGGGTTCGGAGGATGGTCGGGAAAGCAAGGCGCCGGCGACGCGACGGCGATGTGGCACCTGCGGCAAAACCGGACACAATGCGCGTACATATCAGGAAAAACAGAAATGTCTGATGTATACAGTTCTGAGCAGTTTGAATGGATTCCTGGCGTTCGTGGCTTGGAATTGGTGTCGATTGTCTGGAGGTCGCGGTTCTTCGTCCGACGTGCTGGTGAACCACGTTACATCACTTTATCGAAATTAAAATATTTTATGATCAAAGCAGATAGCCTCCTTTACTTGTCCTATCATCCGCGGTGTAAATCCTTTACTTCGAGTGTCCCTATGGCTACGGAATTCCCAAAGTTTCCTGTACTCTTCGGATCGCGTTTCGAACCGATTTACCTGATCGAAAGGAACTGTTCTAAGCCCCTCCGGGCATGTCAATGCAGATTTCGTCGTCCACATACCAACTGAAATGTTCATCGAAACTCCTCTCTAGCAAAACTTTGTAGAAACCTTCTGTACCCTGGATAAGGATATCTACTGAAAGTCCCGACTGGCTTGCGAAGGCCCCGACTGCAGCCTGCCGGACGTTCCCGTCCTGGTGTTCAAGCCGCCCTGTTATAGCTTCGAGGATCCTTGGCGATAAGCCTTTAAGCGGTTGTACCATCCTAAGCGCGGCAATTTGTAGGGGTGTCGAGACGCCGTCCTTCAGCCAGCTGGGTGTTAGTTTAATGGCCGTTGCTGATATCTTTCGTAGCGCGAACAAGATCTTCGCTTGTGCGTCTTCGGATCCTCCTCGAATGGTCTTCTCCAGGCCTGCTCTGGAAGTTCCATTTCGCTGACCAAGATGTTTGTGCTCGGAAGTTGCATTCAAACAACACCCATCGTGGCAACTGGCTTTCCAAGCCTGTTCGGATGCTAGCGAAGCTTGTCGAATAGTTCGACGGCACCTCGTTCAAGCAGTGCATAACAGCCGCTGGTGCATCGGACCCAAAAGGTCGCGTGGCTCGTTGTCGATCGTGCGGAAGAACCGGCACAGTTGTCCCTCATCGCGCTCCTCGTAAAATAGGCCGGCGACAAAACGCCAGAAAACATCGTAGCGCGCTTTGTACTTCTTCCGCAAGAAAACCTCGGTTGTAGACCCGGCCTCTGGGCTGTTTGTTCCCAGGCTGGGAACATCAAGCTTCCTGCCAGAGTTCCAGTGCTCCACAAAGTACTGCGCAGCGAAGAACTCCTGGAAGGTCAAGTGGAGGAAGTGATAGCTTCGCTGTGTGCGCCTGGAGGATGCGTCTGACGACCGCAGAAATGAGGCCTTTGCAAGTAAGAAAGACAACGAGGTATCTTCCGTAGCTCGTAGGCCCTCTGGGCTTTTTCCCCCAGTATTTCCAGATCTCGTTTTGGTGGTTTTGGTCAAACTCGATCACGTCGCTGCGGAGGCCGGCAAAGGCAAGGCAACAGGGGAGGCTGAGTTCCGTCGCCATCCGCGAGGGGATTTCGTAATCGGAAATCCCCTTCGCCGTGGCTTCGGAGAGCGGCTTGCCCCTATGCGACTTTTCCAACCGCGCGGCATCCTTCTTCCACAGTTTTAATTCGAATTGTTGGTAGAGAGATGTCATGGTCGTCGGTGCTCCCTGCGAATCCATGGGAGCGTCCCAGCTGTGACAAAATGCATCCAGCTGTATCGGAATCCGAACCAGGCCTTGAAGAAGCGAATGATCCTGGAGGAACGCTTCGATCTCTACGGCGTGCTTGCCTGCAGCCATCTTCACGTAGGATGTTACTTGGTCCTGGTTGAAGCCGATTGTTTCCAATTCCAGGTCGACGCGCCTGATACGGGTCAGGTTCAGCCCTGCAGGCCGGGAGGTGATAATGACGTGAGATTGTTCCAGCAGGTCGTGAAGAAGACCTGATGTTTCGGAATCCAGTTCACGGGATACTTCATCCAGCCCGTCGAGGATGAATAAGGTTTTGCTGCGCTTACCATGGTCGCCGACTGTGTGTGCTAGTGCTTTGGCGAATTTGTCTCCGCCTCCGGTACGGAAGTACTCGTCGCGAAGCCACTTTTCGAGGGTGTAGGCCGACTTCGCTTTTAGCGTACGCAAAGGCACCCAAAGCAAGCGGTCGAAAATGCTAGACCAGACGCGTTAGCGGAGGTAGTTGTAGACAATCTTTTTTGCACAAAGTAGGTTTTCCCACACCTGCATGGCCCCGAATTAGGATCCGTTGCGGTGGAGCTGTCGTACCATCTCGTCTTTTTCCGGGCATCGAAGAGTGAATGCAAAGAAACCTGCTTGTCCTGAGCCGGAGCCTCCACCTTGAGCCGAGCGAGGAGTGAAAAGGGAGACGACTTGCGCTCCGAATCCGCCTGCTCCGAGCGGCCGGCATTGTGATCTGCCTGCTCTACGACGGCGAGATTAATGTAGCACTGTTCCATCGGCAGTCGTTCGCCCGAAAGCCGCTCGATCTTAAGTCGTTCCTCATCCTCCTTCAGATAGTATCCCCGCACTTTGGCGTCCGCGAAAAACACCTGTGCCTCGAGGCAGCACTCCCAGGCCTTTGGAAGGGCGGCGCCGAGGCTCCGCACCCCGTGGGGGTTCGGGAAGGTGGGCGGCCAAATCCAGCTCCGACAGTGCACGCGCGTGAGCCCCGGCAGAGTCCTTCTTTACCTGTAGGTGCATACGATTTTTTGGCAAGCGACGCGCATTTCCGTCGCGGTGAGCGATGGTGATGTCGCCGACCTTTCAGACCGGATTCTCGTGGGTACCTGGATCCTCCACACGTAAACCCTGCTCGATGCCTCTTCCATGCCCCTCTCCATGCCCCTTTCCATGGTCTTCACGTGCGGAGCAGCGTCCTGTGGGATCCCGCCTCTCGTTGCCTGCCCTCCATTTGGCCCAGCCCGTCTACGCGCCCACTACCAGCACTACCTTAGGGGCATCCGCCCGGGCCGGTCTAGTTCGATCGGTGCCCGCTTGCCCTAGCCCGGGGTTGTTCCTTGGCCGCGGCCTCCCAGCAAACCAAGCTCTGGAGCTGCAACACAACAGGCGAGGCCACAAGGCGAGGCGACACACTCGCTTTGCCGCCGCGACGCGGCAGCTTCCAAAGCCCGGCACACACCACCAGCACTCGGCCGCCTTCCCGCGCAAATCCGACAAAGCAGCATCGCATTAACAAGATGTGGAGGAGTCTGCCCGTCCGCCCTATTGCTTCTTCAAATATAGAGTGTCCCCTTGCTGCTCGATGAAATCCACCAGCTCAACGTTGTCAGCGCGCTCCTTAAAAATGGGAGCGTTTCGACCCGTTTTGTCCTTAACGACAGGTGGGCGTCCATTCGAAACTCCCGGTGGACACCGTCCCTGTACGACCTCAATATCCTTCAGCCTGTCCAAAACGTCATTCAGCCATATATCCTTGACATCCGCCGGCACCTTAGGGCGACCAGCCCGCTCGCCCCCTCCCATTCTACGAACGTCCTTGCGCCACCACTCCGCAAACTTGGCCTTTAACGAAGGGTGCGGCGCCGACTTCCAGTCGTGCCTGTCGAACGCGTCCTTGGCAGTCCACCTGAGGTACCAGAAGAGGGCCACGTTGAGGGCCGAGATGCCGCGCTTGTCGCGGATCAGGACGTTGGCACCTACGTCCAGAAACAGGCCGGAGATCTGCCGGAGCGGGTGGTAGCATTCCGGGCTCAGCTCGCAGTTCCCGACGGCGGAATCCAGGTATTCGCCGTACGTTTCCAAGAGGAGGACTAGGGGCGTCCGGCCCTCGGAGTCGAGGGCGTCCACGTAAGCGCCGTTGCGGAGCAGCGCTAGGACCGCCTCCGCCCTTTGGCCGAGGACGGCGACGTGGAGCGCGGTGAGCCCACGGGCGTCCAGGGCGTCCATTTCCGCCCCGGCGGCCGCGAGCTCGTCGATCCTGCCACCGACGACCCAATCGTCGTCGGCCGCACGGTGGAGCGGAGTTCTGCCCTCGCCGTCGGGGAGGTTGACGCCGCCGTTGGCCTGGTACCACTGAACCACCTTGCGCATGACGGCGAGGTTCGGCGAGACCGCCGCGGCCACGTGCAAGGGGAGCACCCCATGCTTGTTTGGGAGCAGCTTATCGGCGGGGCCGGCAAGCAGCAGATCGACAATGGATCCGTCCTCGTCGGATAATGCGGCGACGTGGAGCGGAGTCATTCCGTCTTCATCCTGCGCGTTAACGTCGGCGCCACAGCCCACCAGCCACTGTGCCCACCCGGCCCGCCTCAGCATAGCGGCTCGATGGAGAGGCGTCCGGTTCTTTTTATCTCGCTCGTCAAGGTTGGTTGCCCGGAGGGAAATGGTCGTAGGTGGAGGTGGAGGGTCGTGGGCGACAGCTCGATGGACCGGCAGCAGCGTTAAATCCTCCGAATCAACTTTGGATGGGCCTTCGGCCGCACGGGAACGATGATATTCCTTCTGGAGTGCTTCTCCAATGTAGATCCTAATAACCCGACCGACCTCGCCGGTCTGCTCGGGGGTCTTGAAGAGGACGATGTCATATTTCTTCGCCGCGAACTGGCTGACGTCCGGGGTGTCCCGCGGCCCTGACGAGCCCGGCATTGGGAGGGTAGAGGCCGAGCAGGCGTAATTGAACATTCGGCACCGATCGCATTTCTCGCCGGGCCATCTTCTGTTCTCCGGCTCGCACTAATTAGTAGCAGCGTCCCCAAGTCAAGTCAACGAACAGCTCACTCAGCCCAAGCAAGACGGCTGGGGGTAGGGGTATGGCCTACCTTTTGCTTGTCCGCACGACAGCGTTCACACTTGGACTTGGGCTTCGCCGGCATCGTGACCAGCAAGCTCTCTTTGGCTTCACAGAAGAGAAGAAGTTAATTTTTTGCAGCCGAGTGTCCCTTGGTGAAGGCAGATGTGGGAAGAAATAGGGGTCTTGAGCTGCTTCGCCGTAGCCTGACCTAGCACGGACGCAAGAGACTCGTGTCCAATTGCTAGTGTTTGCCCCAATGCAGTCTGGTCTCCTTCTCTCACCGAGACAGCCCCGGGGAAACAGCCAACCAGAGGTTGTCCTCAGATTTAGCAGCTTGGCGTGGCTTGCCAGCGTGTCTTTCGTTGGTCCGCGCCGTGTCGTCGCCTCAGTTCCCCTTGGATGCGATGGTTCGCCCATGTCACTCAGGACCCTGACCCCTTGTTATTGCCCACGAGGCAACCATCGAATCCCCCCCCCCCCCCCCAACACCCTCTGCCCGTCTACACCGTAAATGCCTTCGCATTTCAGCTTCGCAGTTCAGCTTTGCTCATCAATGTCTCAATGTCTATATATATTATCTTCGCGCGAAAATGTCCCACTCTCGATTAAAGACCGCCATCGAAGCCTCGTAGACTCAACCCAGAATTCAGGTCCCGGGCAGAAGGCCATTGATTAATTCAACATGACCACCATATCCGCCAACGCACTCGGAACCGGTGGCATTTCTCCCAACCGGGGTGCCATTGAGCCGCGCCACGCTTTCGAAGCGTTCTCCAGAGACGAACACACCGTCCACGTGCTCGTCCAATGGCCCTGCGCTCCATTCCGTCAGAATCGCCCGTTGTGCACCTACCTGACCACCGTCGAGGCGTCGGAGTCCCTCCCTCAGGCCCTGAGCCACATAAGAGCAAAACTCACGTCGGACCAGCGGCAGCGCAGGATCCCTCGCCTTCATCCCACCTTGTTTAGGAGGGTCGTGATAGGCACGGCCCCGCTCCTGCATGGTGTTGAGGTACTGTAGCCCGTCCCCACCCCTCGCGCCCAGGTCAACCCGCATCAACTTTCCACAAATCCCGGGACTAAGTCGTATGGCGCTACCGGCCTAGACCGAATTAGGACGACAGGACCGATGCCCGGAGATATACATTGGCGAGTTTGTGGAGGCTGGCCTGCTCACACAGATCTGGCAAGGTGGGTCCGTCACGTCAGCAACGGACCAATATCCGGAGTGCTACGGGACGCTAGGGCAACTTGGGAACCTTGGATCGGTCGACTGCAGGCCGGTGGCGCTCATTGTGAGGATGACTCCGCACGAAGTCATAATCACGTTCTCCGTCATCCTCTTAGCCTGCGCCTTAAGCGTTGGCGTCGGTCTCCGTAGCGGGAGTTTGGAGCATGGGGTTAGTGTGGCTTCCGCCCTCTTCACGCTGTTGTCGGCTTTGCATCCAATGATCGCATTGCTTAAGGAAATGTCTAGATGAAATGTGTACTGTTTTGGGGATCGCGCATTACGCCGGAGGCCCCTGTCCCGCCCCACCCCCCCTCTCTTTGTTTCCGCCGCCTGTTTCCCATATAGAATCGTATAAAACACCGATTTTTCCACCTTTTGTTACGTCCGTGCAGTTGGGTCGCTGTACGCACGTAGCTATATAATATGGAGCAGGGGGATAATGAGGCAGAGGCTTCATTACCGAAGCTTTTGCTTCGTGGCGTAGTACCTGCCCCTAACCGCGCGTAATACCTAGATTGCTGCATAATCCTGAGCCGCAGCCGCATTGGGATGAGCAGAGGGTAAGCAGTGCCTGAGAGTATGGCGCAGTTCAAGTCCCATTTCTCGGTTTTTCGGCTAAAATTGCGTTCAACCAAAATAGTCGTCATTCTTCCAGGGGCATTTGCTCGTCAATTTTGGGGTTGCCTTGCAGAAGGACAAATTACCGCAAATAGCTCTTGATGACATCCCACGTGGCTGCCATGGGGGTGAGTTGTAGATGTGTCTCCGGTCGTAGGTGGGTTGTCTGGCGCTAGCGGTGGGGCCACTGGGGTTTCATGTCCATCGGAGGCGCACTTTGTAACAGGATGACGCACAGCCCTCCGGGAAGCTTAAAAGGCAGTCGCCGACGAAGCGACAGCAGCTGGATGAAGATAACGTGTCCGCTTCAATGGCGCAAGACGTAAAAGATAGTGGTACTCTTGATTGATTGAGCCCTTCTTGTTCCTTCATTTTCAAGGGGGAAACTGAGTGACGTGGAAGCCGGTGCATTGTCGCCACCACACGCGGCTCCTCGTGGTATAATTATGGGTAATGATTGAATACAGTCCCGCCGCCAAATGACCGTTGGAGAGGCCACATTCGGTTTTAAAATCCGAGCCTGTCGTAGGCCATATGATAATAGACATGGTTGGCGTGCAGCGGGCACCAGACAAAAGCCCAGCGGCCTGCATGAGCGCCTCCAGGCATGTCTCCCAGTCTAATATGTGGGTAGCCCCAGCATGGTTGGTTAAGTGCAGGCGCGGACACATGCATTGAGGAGGCAGCTTCGCCGCGCGCTGACGCGCGTTGACGGCAGGTATGCCCGGGGTTTTTATTCTTGCCTGGCCAAGCCGTCGCATGAAGCAGGCTGCAGGCTGCGGGCCCACACGCTAGGTACCTGTCCCATCAGCAGCTTTCCGCCTTTGCGCACGGTTACCATGTACACCTTGTGAAGTCTTGCAATGGTTTGCAATAGCAGCACTAGGGGAGCTTCTGAGTCACTTTTCCTTTTGCTTCTTGTGACTGAAATGGGGCACATCCGGTTGGCCGGGTTAAAAAAAAAGTTGCCGGGCTCTCTCCGCCTGCCGACGACAGGTCGTAGCGTTCGGGGTGAGGCTATGAGCAGTTTCTTGATGCACCCGAACAATGTATTTAAAGCGCCCCAGTAGTCCCCGCCGTTCGGACTAGAAGATTTAGGCATTGCTCTACCAGCACCGCGGCAGCAGAACCACGCAACCCATCCGATTCCCCCAGTGTTCACTTCTCCCTCCCAAGACGTAGACAGTTTTGACACTTCGCCATCAACAATATAAGGACGCCGCACGATTACCACCGCCGCCCGCCCTTCTTGAGCCCACAATGGCCGACAACAATGACCAGGTGTCGCAAATACCAAATCGGCCAAAATACACAAAAGTGCAGGCACCTGCACGAATCATGCAGATGGGACCCCATTATCTATTGTGACACCAGGCCCGACAGGACGTTAACGACGCCATCATCTCCTCCGGCTCCAGTGCGATCGGTCTAGTCGTCGACGCCGGCCGCGCCTCCCAGAAAGTGGCAGGGCATTACGGAGGAGTGCCGTTTTTTTCCGGTCGCTTTTATTTACGAGACGGATAAGGGCAGGAAGCCCGGAGACAACCGTAGCAGTCGGGCAGGCAGAATATGGCATATGCGAGTTTGATATGCTTGCGCTCGAAGCCGTCGCTCTTGACATCTGTAAATCGGGATCTACCAGTCCCTGCCTCCCAAGGGGCATACGACGAATATTTCTGCTGGGTTTACATAAGGGAACGGGGCAAGGCTAGAGGCTATCGCATCCGCTGGCGGGGGGAAGTAGGGATCGTTGCTTGCCGGATCGTGAGCTGACAGTATTGAACCCGGAAAACTTTGCTCCAAAAGTATCCCGAGATCCTGTGGGAATTTTTCGTTAATGCTAAATCTTTTTAAAATTCCCACAGAATTACTTACAATTAAGGCAAAGCACTTCTCCACTCCGTCATTATCTAGAGACGATGGCGAACGAAGCAGAACATCGCCGCTTTTAGCATCCCCGTCCCCCGACCAACCCTGGATCCGGCAACTGTCGGGCGGGGACACGTGGCCTTTAAAAGGCGACGGCATAGACGCAGCAGCCGCTCGATGTCGACACGCTGTTTGAACCGTCTCATCAACGAAGTGGTAGGTGTCGACCTTGGCTTCCCTGTCAAGCTCGGCGCTTCGCCTCCGCTGCCTTTTGGCCGCTGCCGGTTTCACGTCATTGTTCTCTTCTAGCTCCAGCGACGTTGACTCCTTGACAAAGTCTCGGCAGTGGGCGTCCAGAAGATGGAATTTGAGATGCTTTACAGAGTCGAATGCGCCACCGCACCGAATGCTAGGATGAGGGCAGGTGACCAGCTTCTTGTCGTCAACAGCTTGGACGTATCGTTCGTAATGATCAAAAACACGGTCTTTCTATGGGCCTCTGTCCAGAAACTGACGAAGGCGCAGCTCAGGCTCCAGCGGTTTGTCCGCCATGCAAAACAAGCAGTAGCCGGCGGTGGCAAGCACTCCGCCGTAAAAAAGGGGGTCGCACTGCACAGGGAGCTCGTCCGGGCAAGCAAGATGCGACCGGCAATGGTCGCTCCATTCGGATTTGTCAAACACCCATTTGTTGCACAGAAAGCAAAGCTCGGTGAAGTCGCCGCGTATTTTGTTAAAGCAGCTGTAAACGTGTTTCCAATCGTAGGCGGGTTGTTTGGCGCCACTGGCGGGGGCAGACTGGGGCAGCTTTCGACGAGACGCCGAGTCGGTACATCGACACTTCTCGAGCTCTAGGCCTGGCCGAAACTTGACTTCTGCGTCTGCCTCGCACAGAGCAATCATGTCGCGGAGGGCCCGAAGACCGGTCGGGCTCCGCAAGGTCTCGGTTTTGAAAAGGCTCGTTGCGAGGCGGTCCCGTTCGGGCATTAGGAACCTGACACGGCTGAAAATGCTCCGGTGATAGCACGGCGGGGCCTTGTCGTCCCGGGCAGGGCCGTATGGCTGACCCTCCTGCCACTGTCGGAGTTGATTGTCGGCCAGCTTTCTTTTCTCCTGATAAAGCTTTCTGCGGCGCGAAGTCGACGCCGGATCCCGCCGCCCCGATAAAGTGGCCAACTCGTCATTAATTGTAATCAATTCTGGGCTGGTCCTTAACACTTCTTGCTGTTCGGCCGGCAAAGACTGCGGCAGCTGGGGATTGCGGGCCACCGTTAAGCCGCGGAAAAGGTCATTGACGATGCTGCGCACTTCCTGGCCGAAATAGCTCCTTTGGCCGTCCGTGCCGCTGTTGTTGGGCTGGTAATGTTTGTTGTGGGTGGCAGGGTCAATGTGGCCTGCGTGTTTCATTCTCTGGGCTTGGGAATAGAGCTTGTCTGTGGGTCGTGCAGGTTAGCAATACTAAGGGCCTAGAGTGTAGCAGGAAGAGGAGCGGCTTTGGTACACGTACCGATCCAGTACAGACCCTCCGCTCTGAAGTCGTAGATAGTGGGCGGGCGGGCATATCCGGCGCGGAAACCCAACGCCCGAAGCCGCTTGCTTAGCGCTATCGCCGTTTCTATTCTCCCGGCGTCCCTCCTCGCGGACATGCTCTTAAAGAAGGTCTGGTCAAGGATGCTGTCCTTCCACTGCAGGTGGACCATCTCGCCTTCTGAAGGCTGTATTTTAAAAAGGGCATCGAAAGTGTCGTAGTCTCTGAACGCCTTGGCCGCAAAAAGGATGGCCAGCATTGGTAGCATTGCGTTGCAAACCAGAGGCATGGGCACCAACCCCTCGTACAGCGCATGTTCAGGCCTGGACCACATGAGAAACAGAATTCAGCCGGTGTTTCAGGGGAGAAAGTGTACCTTTTGTCAGGGGTGTCTGTCGTGCCCTTGACATCTCGGACAAGCTGAATAGCGAACTCAGCATTATCGTGTTCATTGCGGAACACGCCAAATGTCACGTCCTGTGGCCCACAAACGAGCGCGAATTAGAATGCCGTCGCCGCAGTTGGTCGTTCAATCCTGCTTACCTTGTAGTACAAGCTACGACCGGAGCCTGGCCGACAGGACGACTCGATGTACTCGCCGATGCGCGCAGAAGAACAAACGATGGCCATGTAGTCGGCCCAGTCGTAAACTCTTGTCGCAGGTTTCTCATATCCGACCCAGTCGTTCCCCCACAGCTGATGCCCAATATGGACGAAGTGGTTCTTCGTCCCAAACCTCCTAAGTCGTTTGCTCTTCACCAGCCTGATTTTGCTTTCTTGTTTAAGTATCTCGGGCAACTCGGAATTGATGAACTACATCAAAGAAGTCAGCTCGGCTTAGCAAAAAGGATGAGGAATTGCATGTGCAGCAGGGACGTACGTTTGTCACAGTCAGCGTGATGTTAGGGGGGATGGCCTCGTGCTTGCGGCGCCAACCGGCCATGAACTGCTTCCAGTACAGCAGGACTGTTCCCTGCCCAGGGTTCGGATCGCCTTCTGCGCCGTCGATGCCGAATGCAATCTCCTTAACGAAGTCCTTCAAGGATTTGACCTTGTAAGGGCTTGGCTGGTCTTGGTCTTGAGCATGGTTTTCAGCATACGTACATTGCCAATGTATTAGCAGCTGCAGTAGCGAAAATTCGCATCCAGTGGCGAGGACGTACTGGTTCCAAAGGCCGATCATGCGATCGTACTCCTTCAGCACCTTGGGTGTGACTTTTTTGAAGACAGCAGAATCATTGATCCTCTCATTGCATTGTTCGGAGCCCCTCGCTTTCCCCTTGCCGAAGAATTCTTGCGGGCTTTTCCTTGGCGCCATTGTAGGATTGGGGTCTGGAACAGGGGCGGCTGGCGGTGGGTTGGTCGATCGCTACGAAGTAGGGACGGAGCAAATGCGGGCTGCTGCGGCCTTTTATGGACAGACGCGTATTGAAGCGCCGGCCAGGAGCCAGGAGGCAGCAGGCCGGCAACATTTGCGCAGCATCCATCGAGTGGACAGCCGGGCAATGGGCGCCTGACATGACGGGGAGGGAGCCAGGAACCGGGCCCCCGGCCAATCTGGGCTGAGCCCCTCTCCGGGCAGCGCGGCCGCCGCTGCATTCTCGTCCATGGCGGAAGCACGGCTGGAATAGAGTCGTCGACAGGATCGGGGGGAAGGTCGAAGCGATGTTGGCTGTGAAAGTGCCATGGGCTGTGCGTTGGTGTGGGGAGGAGGTGGTGTCGTGGTGATTTTATCCCGGAGTGTCATGGTTCGGCAGTAGGAGCCTCCACCCACTTGCTACCAAAAGGACGACTAAGCCAACGTCGACACTTTGGCTCAATTGGAGGCTCAAGTACCCTCTGTGAGGCAAGGCTGCACGAGAGGGCACGCCACGCCATAACACCACCCCCATCTCCCCCTGGGGGGAGGCCAGCGGGCGCTGTAATGTTTGCTACCAACATGACTCAGAGGTTGGGCTTAGCGGCGTGGTGGGGTCCTGAACTCCACCGGGCTCAATTGATCCTTACCAAGATGCACGTGTTCGATCCCCACGGGGCACGGCAGCCATTTGGACTCAGGGCGTGATCTTTTTTTAACGCGCACCTAGCGTTATCTCGGCTGTAGCGTTATTGGGCTACTTTTTGACGTGCACAACGTGGTAGGATAGTCGATGTATCTTTTTATGCCTCGTCCGTGCGTTCCTTGGCGCGGGCACAGGGGCCAGGGGTCGGGCTGGACCGTTTTGTATGGCGGGGATCCAATGCGAGTGTTGACCTCCGTGCCGTCATCAAGAAAACAAAAAAATAGCAAAATGGCCTCCCCAAGAATAACGTTGTTGTATGCCGAGGGCAACGCATCTGGGAACAACGAGCCCGACCTTACGGCCGCCGACGATGCCGTCGATCGAGAGCCCTCGCCAGGGCCGGCACCAAACGGTCGCGAGACGCCCTCGCAAGCCCTTTCTCAGCAGGAGCCGGCACCGGAGCCGGCACCAACTGCCGCCGCCGCCGCCGCTGGCACCAAGTGGAAGCGCCCTGCTACGGATCCCAACAAGAAAACAGTGCGGTTTTCGTGGAACGCCCAGCAAACCGCTGCTGTCATGGAGTGGCTCCTCGTGGCAAGGCAGGAAGGGCTTCTCGCCGTACAAAAGAGGGCAAACTTGGCCGTGGCGTGGCGACGGGTGCTTGAACTGGCAAAGGCGGCTTGGGGCGAGGCGGCAGTTGTTAACTTGGCGGAATCGAAGATTGCCGACAAGTATAACAACGAGAAAAAGTGCTACCTGGCGTGGGCGCGCTGGGTTAGTAAAAGCGGCCGCAGTTACGATACCGAGACGGGCGCCGTTCAAGGCGTTGATACTACTAGTGCGGAATGGAAGAAGTTTGCTGCCCGCGTTAAAGGAATGGCCGTGGCGTGGATCGCACTGGGCCAGCCGCTGGGGAAAGTAAGCACTTACCAAGCGCTGTGGGTAACGGATAGGGCCAAAGGCGACCATATCCAAGAGTTCGCCGGTGACGCCGTCGTCCCGCCTGCGGCTGGGCTTGATCCCTTTGCTGACGGGATGCCTCCTCCTCTACGGCCGCCGCCGCCGCCTCTGGCGGAAAGCATCGTTAACGCGGACGTGGATGACGACGAGGAGAACGACGGCGAGGCGGAGGAGGGCGGCGAAGGAGGTGGGGATGAAGGCGAAACGGCCGAGGCGCGGCGGCGGAGGGAAACTGATCCGGATTTAAATCCGGTATTGTTAGCTGGCGACGGCGAGGATTGGGAGCGCGTGAACGTACAGCGTGGGAGGCCGAGGCCGCCGTCAAGACGATACCCGTCGTCGCCGTCGCCGTCCCCATTTTCGGCTAACAGCAGTTCTGTCACGGGCGTCACGGCCCCGGGCCTAAGTGCGGGCATTGCGGCAGGCGTCGCCGTTGCCAACAGTCTCGCGAGTATCGCTGCCGCTATGGTAGCTGGGAACAAGGACGGCGCACTTACTGCTGCCGCCGCTGACCTCCGTCAGCGGTATCAAGAGACGCGGCCGCCGCGCGAGATCCTCCGGGCTTGCAAGCGGCTACGTGACGACGGCAACGTGGCTCTCTGGAATGCCATGGTGTAACACCCCACAGGGTGAACGCCTCGCAGACAGGGTTCAGGGGTTGGCGAGCCTTTAGAGAAACTCAAAAAGGGAAGGCTTGTGGCGTGGCAAGCCACCATGTCCAAGCCCCAAAGAAGGATCACAGCGTGGTGGCCGGAGGCCGCTACAGCATCATGTATAAGTAGGGCTTGCAATTTAAGCCCAAATTTAACCAAATTTAAAAAGTGTTGGAACAAGTAAATGCACGGGTATCCAGTAGGGAGTTGCAGGCCTGTCACGTAGCCCTAGGGCCCGTGCACAGCCCGCACGCTTGTATATCTAGGCCGGCCTTTAGCCGGCACCTCGCAGATAGATCCCTTCCAACTTATGCAGAAAAGAACCGATTCACACAGAACAGTCGGGTCTGCATCACCTTTGGCGACGGGTGGCCTTGTGAGCCACCAGGTAAGGGGAGCCTACCAACAAAAAGGTTGTATTTAACTAACTAGGAAATTTAATTTAATTTTCTTGGATTTTTCTAATTACCCTTTTAGGGTTAATTTACAACACTGTGTAATATACTGTGTATAATATGCAACTAACCTTAAAAGGGTAATAAGAAAAATCCAAGAAAATTAAATTAAATTTCCTAGTTAGTTAAATACAACCTTTTTAAATTTGGTTAAATTTGGGCTTAAATTGGCCGAATTAGCAAGGGTGTTAAAAATCGCGTTTAATATGGGATTTCGAAGTGCGTCACTCGCTTGTATGCGTCACTCGCCTATGAACCACGTTATAAGTAAGGGCAGGCAGTAGATGGTGGGTGGGGAAGTGGTAAAGTCGTTATTCGAGAAGTTTCGCAACGAGCCCGTCCTCATCCGACAGCAGCTTAACCACGACCTTGTGCCCGTTTTCGGCGGCCTTTTGTCACGGCCATGGTCGAAGACTAGAACACAGTCAATTGGCGCTACGAACGAAGATTCTAATCTAGGGGAGAAAGGAAAGAAAGAAGGGATTCCGGTGCTCGGCGCGCGGAACGTGCGCCTTGATCATGGTTCCTCATGTGGGGCCTCGTCTGTGGGTCAAGGCCCGCGGGCCTTGACCTAGATCGTCACACTACCCCCTTCCAAACCTCGTATGCCGACGTAGGAGGTCATGCGAGTTGTTTGTTACTCGTGTCGGCGTCTGCGTCTTTTGCTGTTCCTCTCGTCATGAACAGCCACATTATCGTCCTCGTGATCTTCTTCTATTCGGTCGTCGGCTGCCGCTCGAATCCAACTTTCAAGTCGCTTGGGAGGGCCTGCTGCATCTGGGTAGGCCCTGTGAAACTCGTCCAATGCTGTGGGTGCATTTTTAAAGTTTTCGGCCGGGTACCACATGTCGTCAGGATCGTACCCACGCCATGACACTTGGTACTCAAGTATCTTGTCTCTCCCAGATAATCTTGATGTCAAGATCTTGTCGACTTCGAACTCAGGTTCTCCGTTAATCTCTTCAGCCGGCGGTGGCTCTTGGTGCTGTTGTGGCAAAGGGTTATCTGCAGCTCGGCGTAATCGGTCGGCATGGAACAAGTTCTTGCCCTTGAACGAAGATGGCATGTCGAGAACAAAGCTGTGTCCTCGCTCTTCCACAACCTTAAACGGCCCTGCGTACTGCGAGTCGAGTCTGGTCGTAGGTGCAGTTGTGGCGAACCCCTTTTTCTTCAGAAAAACAGAGTCTCCTACTCCAAAGTCCACTGGACGACGCTTCTTGTTGGCTTGCGTCTCTTGTCTTTGCTGGGCGGCCACTGCGTTATTGTATGCCAGGTCTTGCACTGCCCTTGTTTGTCTGACAATGTCCAAGGCTTTCTCTTGCTGCCTCGTCGTGATGTCGGCGTCTGGGAGTTCAAGTGACAGCGGATTGCGTGCGTCGTGTCCAAGCAGAACTTTTAAAGGAGCCATGTCGATACTCGAGTGCCAAGCCACGTTATGGGCAAAGTCTAAAGCCGGGAGATGAATGCTCCAGTTGGTCTGGTACTTGTCGATGTAGAAGCGCAGCTTTTGGTCCAGTTCTTGGTTGGTGATCTCAACAGCTCCCTGGGTCTGGGGGTGCAGCGGGCTTCCGTGTCGATGCTTTGTTCCAGTCAGTTCGTTAAGCTTGGCCATGAAGCCTGAAATGAATGGTCCTGCGTTGTCACTGATCCACACGAAGGGTGCACCCAAAAAGCGATAGAGGTAGCGATAGTATCTCGTGGCGAGTACCTCTGCTGTGTCGGTTTTCTTTCCTGGGAGGGTTGCCAGGAGTCGGCTGAACTTGTCTACGAATGCCCACACGTAATTATATCCATAACGGTCAAGGGGCATATCTTTACCGTCAACGGCGACCTGTTCCCATACCCGATTCGGCATGGGCAGCGGGTGCAGCAATCCAGGAGTCTTGTCGTGTCTCTTCTTGTTTCTTTGGCATTCGTGGCAGTTTTTGAGGTATTGCCGTATCGTCTTGTTCATGCCGTCCCAGTGGTAATTGCGCTTAATCATCTGGATGGTTTTGTTCTGTCCTTGATGGGCAAAGATCTGCGGGCTGTGGGCTTCTCTTATCAGGGCTGTCCTGAGGAAAATCTTCCCATCAGTGGTGGTTTCGGGGACAACTAGACGTCCTTGGTGCTTGCCCAGCTTTTGCGATTCGTTTTCTTGTTGGATCAACTGGGCAAGGTCAGCGCCCATGGGAGTCGTGTCATCTTGATGACGGTCTTGGACGGCAGCCACCTGATGACTGATTCGGTCTCTGGGGATCATGGCCATAGTGCGGTCTTCTAATTCCCGGGCCTTAACTGTCGGGAGATCGGCGGTTTTGCGGGACAGAGCATCAGCTGCAACGTTTTCTGCACCTCGGCGATACTGGAACGTGATGTCAAAATTGGCCAGAAAGTCAGCCCATCGAACCTGACGAGTGGACAGGATCCTTTTGGTCGAATAGTACAGCAGAGCCTGATGGTCGGTGACGACGAAGAACTTGGCGCCAAGTAGCTCTGGTTCGTAATGCTCAAGGGTCTGGACGACAGCTAGCAGCTCGCGGTCTTGAATCGGATAGGCTCGCTCAGCTGGCGTCATGGTCTTGGAGAAATAGCCCACAGGCTTCCATTCTCCATCTGGCTGCTGTTGCCAAATAGTACCTCCGACGGCGTTGCGCGAGGCATCGGTGTCAACTTTCGTCGGTCGTCCCGGCACAAAGAAAGCTAGCACAGGGGCTTCGCATGCCTTGATCTTCATTTCCTTAAAAGCTTTCCTTTGCTCGTTGCCCATAACGAAAGGCGCATCCTTTTTCAACAGACGGTTCAGGGGCTCAGCAAGTTCGCTGGCGTGATGGCAAAACATACGAATATAGTTGCATAGCCCTAGGAATGATCGCACCGCTGTCTTGCTGTTCAGGTCTTCAAACTTCCAGTCTCGGATGGCGGCGATCTTTGCAGGATCGATACGGATGCCGACGCCGGCTTCCATCACGATGCCCAGGTAGTCAACCGTTTGGACGTTAAACCGGGACTTCTTAATGTCTCCTTGAAGGTCGACTCGATGCAGGCGATAAATGACTTCCTTGACCTGGTCCCAATGTTCATCCTCGGTGTCGTTATCAGAGTAGATGAGAACGTCGTCGGCATAGGCGCTGGCAAACTGATCAAGTAATTCGTTCAGTTGAGCGTTAATGAAGGCTTGCCACCAAGCAGGTCCGACTTTTAGGCCAAACGGGAGCACCTTCCACTGGAATGTTCCTTGTCGAGTACGGAAGGCTGTTAGATACTCTGACCCGACGGCCATGCGTAAGCGGTTGAAGGCACGGATAATGTCGATCTTTGAGAACCTCTTTGCATTCCGACAGTTGAAAATGGTTCCGTTAACGTCAGGGGCAGGTACAAGACGGTCCTTAAGAAACTGGTTTATCCAACGGTAGTCGACGCAGAACCGGCGGTCGTTTGCGTGCGGTTTAGGTACAAACAGTACTGAGGCGGCGTTGGGCTGCATGCATGGTTCAATAAAGTCAATCTTCAAAAGCTCGTCGATCGTTTCTTTTTCTAGCGGCAGGTAGTGAACGGGCGTTCGGTAAACAGGAGGTGTTCTGGTGGTGGGTTTGTCTAGTTCAAGAATGACGTCGTGGCCTGGGCGATGCGGTGGCAGTTTGGTAGATGCCTTTTTGGAAAAGAACCCCTCCAAATGCGCCAGGGGTGGTGGCAGTCGCTGACGTACTAGCTGGATGTGGTCGGGGTCTTCATCTTCTGGGAAGGCAATCGCTTCGTCCTTGTGAGTCTTCCAATGACGGGTGCTTCCAAGGGCAGCCAAACTGATGGCAGGTTCGCGCTGTTGTTCAAAGGTGATGGGTTTCGTAGGCATAACCTTTTGGGCCCAACGTCGTCGTCGGGGGTCGCAGTTGATCTGGGCAGCAATATTGGCAACGGCTATTGCCTCTTCTTCCTGCTGTGGCTGGGGTACTTGGTTGGGTTTGCTTGCTGGCTTGGTATCGAGGTTCTTGTTTGGTCGTCGGAGAATCTGGATCTGTCGGTGCATCTTTTCGAGGGCATCGTCGCGACGATTGGCCTCTTGTTGGATCTTCGTGTCGATTTTTCGAGGACGGTCGTAACGCGGCAGTTGAATAGCAGGCGAAAATCGTGCAAGAGGGGGCTGATCGTCCGGCCAGCAAAAGCTTCGGGTGCGAGGGTGAATCCAAACGTCTTGTTCCACAAACCAGAATTGACCTATGAACAGATCATGGCCGCAATCGGTTACCAGGAAAGTCTGGTTTAAGAAGCGACGTCCATCTACTTCCAACGTGGCGATCATTCTGGTCTTGACTTGGCCAGCTCCCTTCTGACGATAATCTGTCAGACCGAGAGGGGTGTCCAGTTTTTCTAATCGTGCACCGAGTTGTTCGTGGGCCCGTTGGGCTACCGCTGGGCTAACCAGCAAAAAAGTGTCTGCTCCTGTGTCGCAGAGGGCAGAGATCGGGAAACCAACACCATTCATTTGGACTTGAGCAGTTTTGATAAAAGAGCGGGGAGTTGACTTGTAACCGATCTGAGCTATCGTTGACATATGGACTGCCGGGGAGACTTGCGGCAGTCCTATTCTTTTCCCGAACTCTCTGAATCTGATGAAGCCTGGTCTCTTGTAGTTCCTGTCGCCTGAATGGCGGAAGTCTTGTTCTTGCTCGGACACTCTGACGACCTGTGTCCTTTCTCGCCGCAACCCCAGCAGGAATTATTGGCCCAATGTGCTTCCTTCTCTTCCGAAGTGGGCGCTCGGGTGTGGTTGGTCACTGCGAGTGCTGGGCTGCCTTCATTACCATAGGGTTTATCTTTCTTTGCTTGACGGCTGTCCGTAAGGCGGGTCTGGGTGCTTCCACGTAGTTGGTTTCGGCTCGGTTTATTCTTTTCTTGCCCTTTCTGAATAGCTGAGCGTTCTTTAAAAGCCAGCTGACTGCTGTATGCCGCATCGGCAACAAGGTTGCAGAAGGCCTCGTAGCTGACTGACGGATCTTTGCTATCCCGCAAGAGGCGGGTGTCCAGGGTCTTAGGGATACATCGCCAAAGAGTTTTCTTCCAGTCGGCCTTGGGTACTTTAGCCTTTTGGGCTAAGGAGTTGACTTCGGCGATATGCTGATGGATATTGCCACCCAGCTTGAACATCAGCTTGTTCAGCTTGTCAAATGCTGCTGTGTCTTGGTTGGAGTCGTGGTACGCCGCCTCCAATACTTGGATCATCTCGGCCACGCTTGTGAATGGATCTTCCCGCGATCCATAGCGTGTTTCGACGGTCTTTTGCGCATCTCCTTCTAAAAGGGTCATGGTGTATGCCATCCTGCTCTTTTCTGTGCGGAAGGTTGCATCGTCTTCCTCGAACTTGTCGGCTAATTTTTGTACCCAATTGTCGAACAGCTCTTCGTCACCAAAGAACTTTCCTGGGGCTTCGGCACGGGCTTTCGCCTTGTCGCTATAATTGGGATTCTTGGCTTTGGCGTCGTCACCGTAAGGGACGAACGCTTCGTAGGCTGCCAAGCCGGTCGGGACGAATGTTCCACTGCCAAATGCGCTTTCGGCGGGTGTCGGGTGCCTTTCCCGACGGCTTGTGCTTGGTGTTGCAGTGCGACGGTCTTGGTCGTTTAGCCGGGCTTCCAGGCGGGCAATAGTTGCTGCCATTTGCGCTATGATTGCGGCTTGGTCTGGTTCGGGTGTTTTGGACATCGTGTTGTGGGAATGGCCGGTCTGGTCTGGTCGGTCGGTCGGGTCTCCGTCTTCGGCGAAGTCGAACTTGGTTGAGCTTTCCTTGGGGCTCGTAGTGGTGGCCTGCACAAAGATAGTATCGGTTACAGGGGCTTCCTGCTGGACATTCGGGTCGGTGTCGGTCGTGGAGGCGCTGTCGTCTTGGTTGCTCTCCAGGTCGGCAGGCTGGTAAGGTCTTGGAAGGTTCCGTTGTACAGCTCGCTTGCCTGGTCTCGGCTGTTTCGAAGGCTCGCTTAAAGGTCGGACTGCCCCTTATCCAGGCGTTGGAGCGTCTCGGTAATGGCGGAGGACACGCTGGCGTTAGCTCGGTGCGTTCACTCTTTCTCGCGACCTTGTTGGATCTGAACGGCGCTGGAGGATCCTCCTGTCGCAAGCCGCACTCTGAGACTGTCGCCGCTGTCGAGGAAGATGTCGGCCGGCTCGATACGTAATTGGGGTCCGTGGGCTCGGCCGATAATGTGTGGCTCGTGGCGTCGGTCTCGAAGGCTCAGCCGAAGGTGTTCTCGCCAGAGGTAGAGGGGGCGAGACGTGGCCGGGTCACGGTAGGTAGGAGAGTCTTTTCGGTCGCAGAGGCCCTGTCGAGGCCGACTAGTCTAGCTCAGCCCTGTCGAGACCGACTAATCTAGCTCAGCCCTTGTCTTGGCGCCTGCTTCCTTTGTGTCAGCTCTTCAATGCCGTCAGGGCTGCCCTCCGGCCCGTTCCTTGACTAGCCAGTGGCCTTACCTGTGCTCCTTG